TCCACGCCACCACCAGCATCATGGTCCTACCCATACCAGGTCCACACCACCAGCATCATGGTCCTCACCATACCAGGTCCACACCAACAGCATCATGGTCCTCACCATACCAGGTCCACACCACCAGCATCATGGTCCTCACCATACCAGGTCCACACCACCAGCATCATGGTCCTCACCATACCAGGTCCACACCACCACCAGCATCATGGTCCTCACCATACCAGGTCCACACCACCAGCATCATGGTCCTCACCATACCAGGTCCACACCACCAGCATCATGGTCCTCACCATACCAGGTCCACACCACCAGCATCATGGTCCTCACCATACCAGGCCCACACCACCAGCATCATGGTCCTCACCATACCAGGTCCACACCACCAGCATCATGGTCCTCACCATACCAGGTCCACACCACCACCAGCATCATGGTCCTCACCATACCAGGTCCACACCACCACCAGCATCATGGTCCTCACCATACCAGGTCCACACCACCAGCATCATGGTCCTCACCATACCAGGTCCACACCACCAGCATCATGGTCCTCACCATACCAGGTCCACACCACCAGCATCATGGTCCTCACCATACCAGGTCCACACCACCACCAGCATCATGGTCCTCACCATACCAGGTCCACACCACCAGCATCATGGTCCTCACCATACCAGGTCCACACCACCAGCATCATGGTCCTCACCATACCAGGTCCACACCACCAGCATCATGGTCCTCACCATACCAGGTCCACACCACCAGCATCACGGTCCTCACCATACCAGGTCCACACCACCAGCATCATGGTCCTCACCATATCAGGTCCACACCACCACCAGCATCATGGTCCTCACCATACCAGGTCCACACCACCAGCATCATGGTCCTCACCATACCAGGTCCACACCACCAGCATCATGGTCCTCTCCAGAATGAAATATGTCACGTTGCTGGCGTCTCTTTTATTCAACCTCCTCTAACTATTGAGCCTTCCCAAACCCCTTCTGGTCAACATGTCAACAGTGTTCTCACAATAAATGAGGCCAAACAATGACCGTCTCATATTGCGCTTGAGGTTACCTCTGTGACTTGCTGCCTCTACTGGAGTCCTGTGTAGCCACACCTTGCCATTCTCCCTGACCGCTGACCCAGAGTGCCTCCTGCCCACTGGCTCCAATCCATTTGCCAACATACTCCTCCTCACGCTCCATCCACTACTTACGCCGCCGGTACGTTGAGAGAGAGACTAACTAATGTTTACAAAATAATCTGGATACAACATTGTTGCCAGCAAGTTATGGATGGTCATGGTGCGAGGATGTACTCGCCAGGCAGGTATTGTGGGTCTCGCTTCATGCAGGTCGGCATTCAATCCCCGACGGTCCAAGTGGTTGGGCACCATTACTTTTCCCCCCGTCCCATCCCAAATCCTTATCCTGACCCCTTCCCAGCTCTATAAAGTCGTAATGGCTTGGCGCTTTCCCCTGATAATTAAAAAAAAAATATTAAAAAATTATTTAATTTAATGTAATTTTATTTATGATGTATAATTGATTTAATTATTAATTCTTTCCATAGCTTAGTAGATTGTATGTTTAATTGAGTGGACAGTATGGATTTAAAATCTCCCATAAGTCATATCCCAACACAATTTGGGGGTTAATTAATTATAGTAACCTATCAATCGATTGATAGCAAATTTTTACTAAGAGTTAAAATTAACAAATCCACAATAGCTGTGATGAGGGTTCGAACCTATGCCTGAGAGGATCCCAGACGCGCCTTAATCGACTAGGCCACGACATGGTAAAAAAATTGCAACCGGGAGTTCCACTTGGCCTCATCACGATATTGTGATTTCTGAGTGTAATGAAATAAGGGCGAAGAAGTAGAACAGCTTATTGACTGAGCCCGAGTTCATGGGGGATTTGTGTAAAACCCTGGTTAGTGTCTCGGAGAGACTGCAGGATCCGTGTGAGGCCAGGTGGAACTCCCGGTTGCAATTATTTTACCATGTCGTGGCCTAGTCGATAAAGGCGCGTCTGGGATCCTCTCAGACGTGGGTTCGAACCCTCATCACGGCCCTTGTGGACTAGTTCATTTGATGCATCATGCTAGTGTGATTTCTGTGTGTATTAAGGTTAGTTTATTATTGTACTGGGGTTAGTTTGTACACGAAGGCCTTAGCTGCTTGAAGACTTCAGTGTGGATATCAGAGGGACACGTGACCAGTGTGCCAGGACTAAGCCTCGTGGCTATGGTGTCTGTTCCCTAGTGACGACAGGTTGCTGACGCTTAATTCCCAGGTGACCACAGATCTGCCGGAAGAATACAATCTAACAACTGCAACTTTACTTCCTACACAGATATGGCGCATTTAAATTATTAGTATTAAGAATATTTCTAGACTGTGAGAGGCTCACCCGGTTTTGGGTGTTCGCCTGCCTCATCACCGTTTCCATTTAAATAATATTCTAGGGCCCTACAAAATAATGTTAGTTTTTTACAGAGCCGGAAACGAGGTACTCCCGTTATTTGAGGTCGCGGCAGCTGAACAAGGTCTAGATGGCTCGGGTTCACGAGCATAAACGTAGCTGCTTTTTTTTTACTAAATCATGCGAGCAGTGTTCGTTCCACAATGGCCGCCGCCCTCCTTCCCCGGCTCAGTCACGTTATTGGAACCGGCTAAATTTTGCCCATTTTTGGACGAAGGAAGGGCGGCGTTAATTTTACTGGTAAATTTATTTGATCCAGTTACAGGGAACAGTTTGTTATTAATTTTAACACTGAACTGGAAGTTTTTAGTGATTATTAATATTTTATTAATATATTTTGTTGTGACGGGTGATATATATCCCACGTTTAAAGGAAAATTCCACTATAATCTCGTTTTCTTTGAATGAGTTACTATATTAACTTGTGTTATTATTGGCTAATAGGTTAGTACAAGAACCGCAGTGCTATTATCTGCATATTGTAACTAGGATTATAGAGGTAGGTCGGTTTTTTCTCGACAGGTATGGATGGTCCTGATGTAAAATGTACTCGCCAGGCAGGTATAGATGGTCATGATGCAAGGATGTACTCAGAGGCAGGTTTGGATGGTCATGTGCAAGGATGTACTCACAAAGTAGGCTGGGATGGTCATGGTGCAAGGATGTACTCGCCAGGCAAGTTTGGTTGATCATTATGCAAGGATGTACTCGCCAGGCAGGTTTGGATAATCATTCTGCAAGGATATACTCGCCAGGCAGGTTTGGATGATCATTATGCAAGGATGTACTCGCCAGGCAGGTTTGGATGATCATTATGCAAGGATGTACTCGCCAGACAGGTTTGGATAATCATTATGCAAGGATGTACTCGCCAGACAGGTTTGGATAATCATTATGCAAGGATGTACTCGCCAGGAAGGTTTGGATGGTCATTATGCAAGGATGTACTCGCCAGGCAGGTTTGGATAATCATTATGCAAGGATGTACTCGCCAGGAAGGTTTGGATGGTCATTATGCAAGGATGTATTCGCCAGGCAGGTTTGGATAATCATTATGCAAGGATGTACTCGCCAGGAAGGTTTGGATGGTCATTATGCAAGGATGTACTCGCCAGGCAGGTTTGGATAATCATTATGCAAGGATGTACTCGCCAGGAAGGTTTGGATGGTCATTATGCAAGGATGTACTCGCCAGGCAGGTTTGGATAATCATTATGCAAGGATGTACTCGCCAGGAAGGTTTGGATGGTCATTATGCAAGGATGTACTCGCCAGGCAGGTTTGGATAATCATTATGCAAGGATGTACTCGCCAGGAAGGTTTGGATGGTCATTATGCAAGGATGTACTCGCCAGGCAGGTTTGGATAATCATTATGCAAGGATGTACTCGCCAGGAAGGTTTGGATGGTCATTATGCAAGGATGTACTCGCCAGGCAGGTTTGGATAATCATTATGCAAGGATGTACTCGCCAGGAAGGTTTGGATGGTCATTATGCAAGGATGTACTCGCCAGGCAGGTTTGGATAATCATTATGCAAGGATGTACTCGCCAGGAAGGTTTGGATGGTCATTATGCAAGGATGTACTCGCCAGGCAGGTTTGGATAATCATTATGCAAGGATGTACTCGCCAGGAAGGTTTGGATGGTCATTATGCAAGGATGTACTCGCCAGGCAGGTTTGGATAATCATTATGCAAGGATGTACTCGCCAGGAAAGTTTGGATGGTCATTATGCAAGGATGTACTCGCCAGGCAGGTTTGGATAATCATTATGCAAGGATGTACTCGCCAGGAAGGTTTGGATGGTCATTATGCAAGGATGTACTCGCCAGGCAGGTTTGGATAATCATTATGCAAGGATGTACTCGCCAGGAAGGTTTGGATGGTCATTATGCAAGGATGTACTCGCCAGGCAGGTTTGGATAATCATTATGCAAGGATGTACTCGCCAGGAAGGTTTGGATGGTCATTATGCAAGGATGTACTCGCCAGGCAGGTTTGGATAATCATTATGCAAGGATGTACTCGCCAGGAAGGTTTGGATGGTCATTATGCAAGGATGTACTCGCCAGGCAGGTTTGGATAATCATTATGCAAGGATGTACTCGCCAGGAAGGTTTGGATGGTCATTATGCAAGGATGTACTCGCCAGGCAGGTTTGGATAATCATTATGCAAGGATGTACTCGTCAGGAAGGTTTGGATGGCCATTATGCAAGGATGTACTCGCCAGGCAGGTTTGGATAATCATTATGCAAGGATGTACTCGCCAGGAAGGTTTGGATAATCATTATGCAAGGATGTTCTCGCCAGGCAGGTTTGGATGGTCATAGTACAAAGTGGAACTTGATAGGAAGGTTTAAATGGTTCCAGCAAGAAATAAGAAATAAAGACTTAAATATAATGCATACGTTATTGCATGGCAATAACTTAAGCATTTGGATTTTATATACAAATTTGATTTTAATTGCAATATTTTATCTCTTTTCTATTACAGTGAAGAACATTGCTAGGAGCAAGAGCAGTATCTGACGAAGACATCAGCTGTAGCAAGATCAGCAGCCAGAGGAGTGCCTGAGAACAGCAGCAGGATCAGAGGAAGAAGCTGCACACCCATCAGTACTCTACAGCAGCAGCAGTTGTGGCGAGAGCCAACGATGAGTCAACACCACAATGGCCACAGAAAATCACACAACAAGAAAGTCAGGATTAACAGGGCGAGGAAGAGGCAGAGTTTGGTGACGACGTCTGCTGTGTTGCGGCTGTTTATTGTGATGGCTGCTACGGCCTACCTGTTTCCAGCTAATCTGTCCTCAGCTTATCTAACTGATGAAGGTATGTATTATCATGCTATGAATGGGGCTGTTCTCCAAAATGTTAAATAGCAAAGGTTCATTAACATAGGCGAATTTGCGCACCAGAGGAGAACATATTACCTACAAAAGCACATGTAGTATGCAAATGGTTAAGTATGCCAATGGAAGCTATGATTAATTAGGTAAACCGTCAGTATATGCAAATTGACCAGTAGGAATATAATGTGATGAATTTAAACGGGAAATTAAATGTTTTAGTTAATTGTTATTTATGCTGGTCAGCAATTTTAAATATGGAGGTATGGATGATCATGGGGCAAGGATGTATTCGCTAGAAAGTTATGAATGGTCATGGTACAAGTAGGGTACTCGCCAGGAAGGTTTGGATGGTCATGGTACAAGTAGGGTACTCGCCTGGAAGGTTTGATGGTCATGGTACAAGTAGGGTACTCGCCATGGAGGTATGGATGGTAATAAAACAAGGAGGTACTCACCAGGAACCTCAAGTTAGTACCTAACTTGGAATAACATACAAACCATGTTATATGTCTATGTAATAATATATGAAGAAACTAATGTTTTGACTAATGACTAAATATAGTCACTAAATAAATATTTTGACTAAATATAGACTAATGTTTTGATTTACAACATACATTAGGTTGTAGTTTCCTTATGATTTACAGACATTGGTGTGATAGATCATATGCAGTTTGTAAGCATAATTACGATACATTAGGAGATATAAAGTAACTGAACAGAGGTACACTATGTCAGAGGTTGACCCTCTGGCTAGCTTATACATGGTTGATAGAAGAAGCAAATTGCCATTTTGACTTAGGAAATTTCAGAGAGTGCACAAAATATGAACTTTTTTGTTATAGTAGCTAGAAGGTCGTAATTGGATGTCTATGGAAAGCAGACACCCTCAGCTTCCCAGAAAACTTGCGATAGTCGCTGTAGCGTTTCTGGATAAATAGTTACAGAATTAGCATAAATTTTAGTTCTGGCTGCCTAGATACAGGGATGGAAGCCAGGCACTGTGAGCTAAGTGTCTCAACGGTTTTCCCCTAGCCCTCGTGTAAGAGTCACAGGCAGGGGATTCTCATTGGTCGCGGCACCATGGGCCTCTATGATGCTGGCACCTGATTGGCCGTCTCAAAAGACTAGGGGGAACATCGCCGGTTCCATTCCAGCCCTCGGCACCTCATTCCGAGGAGCGTTGCTGTGCTGTGTAGACGTGATATCCTGTTTCGGCCAAAAACAGGGTATTTCTCTTGTCTACAGCATAGTTCAGCAAGCTCAAGTATATCTATTCCGTCTAAGCATTATTGTCAAATCCGGTAACCGCTGGGCGCAGGTTCCTCATTTCGAGTAATATATATATATATATATATATATATATATATATATATATATATATATATATATATATATATATATATATATATATATATATATATATATATATATATATATATATATATATATATATATATATATATATATTACTAGAAAGATACACGGAAGTACGCTCCGCGCCACACGTGATCGCTGCAGAAGCAACAGGACTGTAGCCAGTTGTATCGGTGATCATCGGCGAAAGTAAAGGCGATCTGTCACCATATCGCTAAGTAAACGATGTACAGGGAATCTAGGAATACGGTTCCAAGTGTTTGAGTTCAAATTTTGAATGATTTAATGCGAAAATTGGGGACTGTGTGGACTCTGTTTATTTCGTTCATTGTGCTGCCCACCTCGTTTGCTTATCACGTGGTGGCCATCTTCCTCCCATTAGCGTGTTATCAGTGTACCTTCAGCAAAGCACACTAGTGCAATTCTCACCAGTGTGCACCCAAACACACCCCTGTCTTCACTAGTATCCTGGAAGACAGGCGATTGTAGCCCATGTGGTCCCAGTGGCTCACTACCTCATCCGCCCGCGCGCCACTTCCACCCCACCTCACTGTACCATCACCCGTGTAGCCCCCTGTGCACTCTAACCCAGACTGCCTCTGTGGTGTATGATCTCCAATCAACAACAGGATCATAGTGAGTGTGATTGTAGTGTGGATTGGGGAAGATACCGGTAATAAATTCAAAGTGAGTACTCAAACTATGTATATTTTGTATCATTCGTCTAACATGCATTAATTCCTTATGCTGAATCAAGTCAGCCGACCAGTGTGCCGTTCTTCATAATCCCGATACGGGGAGGAGTTCAATTACCGAGGAAGCACGATAGGTAAGGGCCTATTAAAGCTAATTTGTGTGATAACTGTAACTTGACCCTAGTGTGATTGTTATCTTACACTTTGTTACACATATAGTATTTGTGTGGTTTATGTTAATTGTGTTGAGGTTTAGTGTGGTTTAATTATACCATCACCTTGTTTCTGTTCAACCATTTCCGTGTTGTCTTAATTTTCTTTCGTTCGAGAAGACAAGCAGTGATAAAAGTAAATCTGTTTGGAGTTGAGTGGTGACCACCGGCCAGGGCGGACGCTCCTGAGGTCTCTCCGCTTCTGGCAAGTGTTGACGTTGGCTGATTGCTGGTTTGCCCTGCTGTTGGTGGTTTGCCACTGACAGGGTGACTTTTGACTTAGCCATGGGGACTTCTCGCCCTTCAGTGAAGAGGACATTGTCGGCTGGTCTGGCATTTACGGTGCCGGTAGACCATCCGTTGGTTGGTGTCACCCTAGTGGACGTGCTACATGTGCAGCTGTCGGACCTGATGGGCATCCAGTTGCTTCAGGGCAACCGTGCTGTGGTAAAGTTCTGCCTCCAGGCTGCCTTTCAGGCGTTTCTCGAGCGATGTGAGGGGCGTGTTTACCCCTCTCCCAGATACTGCTGGTTTTGTTAAGGTGGTGAATCTTAGTGTCACCTTGACGTCTGTGGCGGTGCATGGTGCCCCCTTCGAATTTCAGGACGACTTTTTAACCTCCTGTTTTGAACGATTTGGAATGGTGTTAAGTATTCATTGGAACAAGGTCCTTGCTGGGCACTGTGTTGGTATGCTTGACGGCTCCCGCACCCTGACGATGTTGCTGAAGTGTAGTGTACCGTCGTCGATGTCCGTGTTGGGTTACACGCTCTGCTGCCTGTATCGGGGTCAACCGTGCACCTGTTATCGGTGTGGTCACGAGGGTCATCTGGCTGCAGCGTGCGACGTCGGAGCAACTGGTAGGGTGCATGTTTTTCGTGTGGAGGATTTTCCGCCCCTATTGCGTTTGGACGGTTCTGAGGACGGAGTGGGTGCTGTGCCTGAGGTGCCTAGTTGCCTGTCTGCTGCTCCGCCTGTTGCGGCGAGTTCTAAGGCCTGTGCGACACGTCTGGTGACTTCTGTGGCCCCTGGGGTTGTTGAGCCGGTGTGTGTGGGTGTTGGGCCGTCGCCTGCACTGCATGTAGTGCGGGACGTCCCGGTGGGGGTTCATGTCCAACCCCCGCCTGTGGATGTGGTGCCGGCTCCCGGGGATGCGGGTTCTGCTGTTTTGGACGGGGGGGGGGGGGTCTCGGCAGGGGGAGATGCCTGCCATGCCTGTGTGTGTTGGCAACTGTAGTTCTGCTCTTTCCATCCCTTTGCAGAAGCGTGCGCGTCGGTGTTCTGAGGCTGTTTCCCTGGATGATGTGGCCTCTGTGGACTCTTCGGACGGTGCGGATGTGCAGATGGTGGCTGTGCCTGCAGAACGGCCTGCTGGGAGTGATGTGGTGTGGCCTGTCTCGAAGCGTTTGCGGTGGGCTCGGAGTGTGTCTCCCCTTCGTGGTGTGCCTTAGGAGTTGGTGGGGGAGTATGGTGCTCTGGCATCCCCTGCCATGGATGATGGTGCTGTGAGGGGCTCTGAAGTTGGTACCTGTGCCGCCCCCCTCCCGCGTCTCCTGCTGTTGGATCCCTGGAGTGGGGGGTTGCCGCTGATGATCAGGACCTCATCCTGGTGCTGCGGAAAGATGTGCACCAGGGGGCCTTTGCTCCTGTGCCCAGTGGTGGGGTTGATGCCGCGCCTGCATCCCCTGCGGTTCCCCCTCCTTTGTTGCCCTTGTCGGGGGAAAGCCTAGTCCCGACTGATGGGGTCGTGCCCTGTGAGGGTCCGGTGTTGGGACCTTATCGGGATGCCCGGGTGCTTCCGATCCCGTGGTGCTCGTCCACTGTCTGGGTGTCTCGGGTGAAGGAGTTTGTCTATCGGGTGCCGGATAAGATGTCTCAGCCAAGGACACTGCCTGGTGGCCGGGTGTCCCCTGACACGTGGGTGATTTGGGATTCGTACTGCTTGCGCTTTCCGATATACAAGTTTCCGGAGAAATATTAGTTGACGTCTTGTGCACACCGCTACGCCGTGCCTGGATCAGCTCCCGCCGTAAATTCGTCACCCCGCACTACGGTGCGTGACTTTCCCTCTCACGTCCCCCTCTGTTTTCGTCGCTACTCCTCTCTCTACGGCCCAACATATCTAACACTTTTGATTTTCTTCTACTAAACGTCAACACGTCTCCCTACATTTGTCCTGCTGCAGTCATCGGGAGAATAAACCCTTCATGCAAACTGCACCTATTCTCAAGAAGAAGAAGAAGTATGTTTGCTCTATTGAAATTGTATTATCATTGATTTTATAACATTTGTTGTGACGGTTGTGAGTGTTGTTCAGTGCTTGGGTTAAGCACTGTATTTTGCTACTGTAATTGTGTTGGTCTACGTGACCCTGTGTTGTTTTGATTTGTATTAATTTATTGTGAAGTCAGTGTCATTGAATTAATGTAATTAATTACCATCTTTAGTAGTGAGAGGTGATTAGCAACCGTGTTTACTAATCAGTGGTTGTCAAGCAGTCTCAGTGATCGACTAGTGTTAACGTAAATTCTTCGTGAGTTAAGTTTGACTGTCAAGTTTGACAGGACCGGAAGTTCCACCTAAGCAGCCGTAGGGTGAAGACGTGTCGTCTGAACACTCCGGCAGTTTGGGGAGGTTGCAGTTTTCGCCGGCAGGGGATGTGGGGGTGTCTTACCCTCCCTGTCCAGTGTTGTTGCCTGCCTGGCTGCGTGCTGACGTGGCCGTTTTGACATGGAGGGCCTGGCCATTCCTCCTGTGTTGCGGGTAAATTCCGTGGCCCTGGAATTCTCGTGTAAGGCTGGTTATCCGGCCATTGAGTTAGTTATGTGCGACATGCTTCGTGTCCCTGTGGAAGCTGTGTATGGCGTTGAGCTTGTTACGGCCCACCGGGTGATTGTCAAGTTCGTGGGGGGGGGGAGGAGTATCGGGACTTCCTCCGGCGGAACGAGGGGCGTTCATTGCAGTTGCCGGATGGCGCCGGCTCCGTTACGATCTCGGACCGAAGTGGTGCCCTGGCATATGTCACTGTGCACGGTGCGCCCCTGGAGTTCCCTGAAGGCCTTCTCCGGCGCTTCTTCGGGAAGTATAGTGTAGTCATCAGTGTGCGGGTGAACAAGCTGTCCTCGGGGAAGTATGCTGGGAAGCAGACGAACGTCCGTACATTAGGTATGCGCTTGCGGTCGGATATCCCATCTTCTGTCCGGCTGCTGGGCTACTACGTTCGGGTGTATTATGCCCGGCTGCCCCGTACTTGTTTCCGGTGTGGCCAGTTGGGGCATCAGGCTGCCGGGTGCTCTGAGACCCCTGCTGCACCCGTTAACTTATTCCGGGAGGAGGATTTCCCGCCGCTCCCTCTGGGCGTGGATTCCGGGGATGAAGTGGAGCAGGTCCCAGTCGCTGCTGATGCGGCCCCTCCTGCGTCACCCGACATGCCCCCGGTGCTTGTTGTCCCTCAGCCGAGTGCGTCTGCGTCTTCCTCGACTCCTGCTGCTGCGCCTGGTCCAGCACCCTCACCAGGTGTTCCGGCTGTGCTGGGTGTTGGGGGGCTGCGGAGCATCCTGTTGTGTGCTGCTCGGTTCCCCATGTGGTTGAGGCTGCTGCAGTACTGCGACGGGCGTTGGTTCGCCCGGTTCGTGAGGGCCGTGGTTCTGGGTCCGCCTCCGGCTGTGAGGATGTGCGGCCAGTGCCCAAGCGTTCTAGGCGCTCTTCTACTGCTTGGGCTGATATGGAGGACTACGACGCGGGTGGAGCTTCGGGAGATGGTGTGGCAATTCCGAGTGCTTCGTGCTCTACGACGCTGGTGGTGGCTGATGTCCATGTGTCTGCTGTTGACGATGGTTGTGCGTCTAATTTACCTCCTGTTCTTTCTCCTGCAGAAGGTTCTACGCAGTGGGAGGTGGTTGCTCCTACGGGCGTGGATGGTGTGGATCCTGGTGCGAGCCGAGGCATCAAGCTGGTGCTGAAAAAGGATGCCAAGCGTGGGGGGTCCCGGCAGGTGCAACGTTCAGTGGTTGCCGAGGAGCCCTGTGAGGCAGCTGAGGAGGCTCCCAGTGTGCTGCCCATTGCCCGGCCTCATGGGAAGGTGCCTCTCCCTCTCATCTTGGCCTCTGGAGTGGCGATTGATGCTGACCATCCGTTGAATTTTGAAATTGTTGACCGTGTGCGTCCTGATCCGTGGTGCCCTTCTACCATCTGGATTCGTCGGTCTAAGTGTTTTACTGTCATGTTTCGGAGGACATTATGTTACTTTGGGAGGCGTACTGTATTCGCTTCCCGGCGGAAGAGTGGCCGGACAAGTTTGAGATCTTTTCGTAGTCTGTGTGCTTGCTGTGTGTTTGGTGTGGTGTTGTGATGTTTTGTTGTATTTTTTCTTTTGTTTTCTTGTGTTTTTGATGTCGGCCCTTCAGGCCGGTGTTTAGTGACTTTGTATGGTTGTGTATTGATTTGTTTGTTTCTTGATGTACTTTGTTGTTGCATTCTTGGTCCTTCAGGCTAGTTGTTGTGTTTATGCCTGTTTTGTTTTCAGGTGTGTGTGTTTATTGTTATTGTTTATTTTGGCCTCGCCTTTTGTTTACGGGGCGGATGGCATGGTGTGTGTTTTTTTTATTAATGAATTGATTTTATGTTGCTTTACCTGTTGTACGTGTTTGGACAGTATTGTGTTTGCACTGTTCTGTTTCCTGCTATGCCTCTTGTTGTATGTTTTGTTTTTCTGGAGGTGTTGTTTTGTACTGTGATTGCTGGATTGCCATTGTATTCTGTTTTGTGCTTTGATGTATGCTGTATTTTTCATGTTTTTCTTGTGTATGTGTTTTGTTGTGCTATGCTGTCGGCCCTTCTGGCCGGCGGTCTATTGTTTTCCTTTATGTATTCTGTATTTTTATTGTATTTAATTTGCATGCTCTGCATGTAAAAAAAAAAAAAAAAAAAAAAAAAAGTTTGACAGGACCTTGAACAGTTACTCAGAGATTGCTAATTACCTGGAAGTTGTTGATTGACTTCGTTGAGTCTGGTTTAGCTGCTTGGCTGTCTGTGCTGACAGAGTGTATTTAACGTAGTTTACCTTGCTTTAGTTTGACTGACCTGGAGAAAAATTAATGTAATTGGTTTTACTAAGTAACGTAAATGTGTTGTAACTTGTTTAATTGAAATTGATCAGATCAATTGTCATCTGTCTGTTAATGTGTTGTAACGTTATTGATTGCTTTGACTGACGTCTTGAGAGACGAGCCTTAATGTAATTAACTGAGTGTTGCACGGAAGACTCTGTGACAGGTCTGTCTGTTGTTGCTTTTATTGTTTTTCTGCAGTCGTCACGAACTGCTACTTGCATCTGAGTGGTCGCCCACTGTTTCACTGTAATTAATATTGGAACTGTGAGCGGTCTGTACCAGAAGTGCGTTTATTCCAGCTGGTCTAGTGTTGACAGCACCACTACGGACTTTAACGTAATGCTAAATTATTCTTACCTTCTATTATTATTATTAGGTTTTATGAATAAATTGTTATTGTTGGAACTACAAGTGTCTTTCCATTCACACCTTCTAAGATCCTTGTCACCATTTATTAACGCTGCCTTACACTTGAAAGTGACTCCCTGTGTGACTCTGGATAAATGGACGCGAGCTAATTTCATAGCCACACACACCAAAGAAATCATTTGGTATGAGACACCTATGAGCTACTCTGACAACTGCCTTCAGTAGTTACGGAAGCTCCACGACTCAGTGGATTAAGAGTGCCAAGGATCTGAACAGGTGGCTCTAAGCCACCTGTTCAGTCTTAAAGTAAAGCTGTCATTACATAACTTGGTTGTTGCTAGTGCAGTTCTTTCTGAGTGAGGTCACTTGTATTAGTGCCTTCCCCCACAGGCCGACAATCTCACACCCTATGTCCATATAGCTTTAATCGAAATATAATATATACCTGGAGATGTTTCATTGTTAATAGATATACATAATATACGTTATGTTACCTGTTATTTTTAGCTAAACGTGTCTGTTAAATTACACTTGACAACACCGAGTGAGAAAGCCAGCAGCTTGACTGCCTCCCAGAGTTAAAAAGTCAGTTGGTCTATAGATGTAGTAGACACTGAAGATGTACTGCTTGGCAACTAATCCAACAATTATGTAGTCTTTTTACCTGTAAGTTAAATGATTGTATTAGGGCCAGGTATTCAATAAGTGGGTTATAATATAAGATGAAAATATTTCCACTGTTTTCTATAAAGTAATAGAAATTCCATTTTAAATATAAATCTGTGAAACTGCATGTGACAAAAATCTTATAAACTCTCTTCAGAAGTTTCTAAGGAGGATAGTTTCTCCACATGGCAGGGAGAAATAATAGCTAGAGTAAGCTTTACCATTCAATACTATGAACACTATACAATATCTTGAATTAGGATATATTAATGCCAGAACGATAGCCTAGTTAATCAAATAAATTCAACAACTGAATCACGACAGAGACGATTTGTATTATTTGAAATGGTAAACAGTGTTATCTTTCCACATTTGACATAATTCAGTGTTGCACAGTAATCACAATAATGTACATATTAATTCATCATCACACTATAAAGAATGATGTTATCAAGATGTTATCAATTATTAATACGTCTGAGCACAGGTAAAAGTGTAAACAGAAAATGTGAAGAATACAATTTTTTGTATCAGTAACGAAGTGGTGAACTTAACATGTAATTTCCTTAGGCCAAAATATGAAGTACTATAAATCGTTGCGGTTTGCAAAATTTTCGTGATCTGTTTTCTGTTAATGGGTCCTCGTGTAGGTTACTTTCAGGCAATTTAGTTCATCAGTTTAGTACGTTGGGAATGTTTGGGAGAATGGGCTGGAGCCGCTAGCAGCCTTTCATCTCCATCATATAGCTGCTTATATCCCTGTTATTGGGTCGGTATATGAGGGATTGACTGAATACCTGGCCTCTCTTCCTAATATCAACTTAATATACTCATGTAACTACAGTGCTCTCCACCTGACAATTTATAATCATTACCAAATATTGGCACAAACAGTCCTATTTGCCTGACTAAGTCTTGAAGTTTGAGTTTATGACCTCACAGGAACCCTTCAGTTCAACTTATTCTAACCTGCAGTCCAACGTTACACCCGTTGTCAGATGAGTATAACATTATACATGTTATATCTGGATCCATTTATTCATGTATAATTATATAATCTTACTCAAAGGCTGGCTACATAGCATAACATCAACTAAACACTGGTAGTGTTCCGTTCACACTTGTATGTCTACATAACTTCATTGTGCAATTAGCACAGACCTTAACTAATCTAAAATTCAAATCCAGTGTGCTTATGGAAATTCCCTGTTATATGATAATAATTCCATGATAACGTTAAGCAATAAACTCACTTGTCGGTCCCCTTACAGGAATGTATAGTCTTCAACACAATAATGCGTGTAGCCTCTTCACTTTCAAACTGTGAATTATTTTATTGGACTAACCACCCTGAAAAAACAACGTTGAGACTTGGGAGTATTGAGCATTTTGGTTTGAAATTTGGTTTGAAAGCCACTCCGTGGTGTAGTGGTAAGACACTCACCGGGCATTCTGCGAGAGCTTTGTCATAGGTTCGTATCCTGGCCGGGGAGGATTTACTGGGCGCAAATCCTTAACTGTAGCCTCTGTTTAACTCAACAGTAAAATCGGTACGTGATTGTAAAAAGATTCTTCGTGGGGGTCGTATTCCAGGGACCATAGGAATAAGAACTTGCCTGAAACTCTAAGCGTACTAGTGGCTGTTCAAGAATGTAACAACTCTTGTATATATCTAAAAAAAAAAAAATGTCCATTTACATGATGCAGATGAGCTACGTAAAATTTATCCATTAGTCCCATTTTACATTCATACAATTGTGATATAAAATAAATAATTTTTCCCATTCAATTCTTGATCCTTCGAAAACAGATGTACTGTATCTATTCACTTACAAAAATAATCACTCGTCTCGGAATTAACTGGCCCTATTATTAGCCTTTGTAAGGTACACCCGCTCTGACCCCTGTCCTCAAGCCCTCACTCAAACTCTTGTGGGAAGACGACCGCTTTATCTGCACTTGAAGGGAAGTATTAAGGCAACCACCTAACTCCGGTACAATTTTTAGCCAACGGCCTATGTTAGGTATACACAATGTTGCTGGCTATGACCTGCTGTTATCTGCCGCTCCATACAGTTATCAGTGTCCCATACCGAATCTCCTCTTGCTCCCACTATCATTTTTCAGCCCGTTCTCCTGAGACATACCGCTTATAGTGCTCAATCTGCTTTGTTTAACACTTCCTCTGTGGTATACTCAAGGCTCGGGCACAACCAGGGAGCCCCTTGTGGTTACTGACCCTCTTAACCACAAAGCTGCCGCCTCTCAGCCCACCTCCAAGCTTTCCCAACCTGCCTGCCTGCGTTCCAGCTTGCCGGCCTGCTATCCCGGTGGCCTGCCTACCATCATGCCTGTCCTCCGGCCTGCCTGCCATCCTGTCGGCTTACTTGCCATCCTACCAGCCTGCCTGTCATCCTGTCAGCCTTCTGCCATTCAGCCTTCATGCATGTTACCTACCATCCTTCTGGCCTGTCTGCCGGCCTGCCTATCGTTTTGCCACCCAGCTCGCATTCCTGCCAGCCTGACTGCAATCCTGCCGGCCTGCCTACCATCCTGCCCGTCTGCGTGCCATTCTGCCACTCTACCTGCCAGCCTGCCGGCCTGCCTACCATCCTGCCCGTCTGCGTGCCATTCTGCCACTCTACCTGCCAGCTTGCCGGTTTGCCTGCCATCCTCCCTGCAGTTCTAATTGCCTGAAATCCTGCCTGCTAGACTATCTACTCGCCTGTCTACCGTCCAGACATCCTATCTCCCAGCCTTCCTCCCATCCTGCCTCCCAGTCTGCCT